GAGGAAATAAATACAAGGAATTTGTTGAATCTAGAAGAGTACATGGAAAGAATGCGTCTTCAATATGTTATTTATTATAGCTTGATTCCACACAGTTTTTTGGTACAACTATGCAATTTTCAGCATGTGATATCGGTAGCTCAAATTTAGCAGGCCAACCACTGATATCAGGTGTGCGTCGGTCACGGATCGAACCCCAAACCATGTGTATGGTCGGCGAGAATCCTAACCGATGTGCCACCGACGTACAGAAGGACTTTGAGCTATGGCAACAACAGTCTCAAACCAATGACTCCTGACACCTCAAAGGCTTTAGTCAAGAAGTCTGAACCAGTCCGTTCGTACTTTTTTTAAAACAACAGTCAAATACTTCATGAATTGATGCAATATTTTGGTCTGACCACTCATAAGCCTTTATTCCAGTTCAATCTTAGATCGACTAGCATTTCTGGCAGTAAAACTAAGGGCGTATATTCCCAGCCAATAATCTTTGTTGACATCCTTGATCATTAATGTAGCAAACAGAAATAATAAAAATAACAGTAAACTCTCTTGAGTTTCCATCATTTTAAAGGTATGTCGGCGGATACAGATTGACACAAGTCACACTCTGACATGAAACCCAAGAGGAAAGCCACAAGTTAGGCATGGATCTGAGGGTGATATGGAGCAGACCATGTGACGGGTAGTCATTGGACGCTTTTATAGCAGAGAACTGAGTGCAATAGAGATATTCTGTTGACACTTTAGGCTCCACTAGGAACGCATAAAATGAATAACCGTAATCGAAAAACGCATAGACGAACAGAAAAATACAGACTGATGCAAAGTTAGAAAAGTGTAGAAGATTATTTCTAAAACACAACAATAAGTTTAAAATAAATTAAGCATTCACTTGTTATTGTTCATTAACTGGAAGATGAATTTGCCTAAGTTCTTAGTGGGAAGCTGCAATTAGATAGGATCATCCTAAATAGGCGTGAAAATGACTAGTTATCAATGACATCAAATGTTAATTACCCTGAAGTTGAAAAATTACCCGTAGAAGTTGAAAAACAACAACTTGTGGATTATTAGTGGAATGCTTGCAATGAGATCTTTTGTTCCATAGTTCCATACTCCATAAGTGATTACTATTGGAAAGCTCAAATCTAAGGCATAACTGATACTCATTCATTCATTCATTGATGTATTCAGTACAGCTTTACTTTTCACCGTCCCTTTAACTTATGTCTACTTATAATGATGACAACCTATATCAGACATATAATCTTGAATTTTAATGACATTTGATAACAGCTTTTATCTTAAAATAACTTTCTGTTTAAAATATACAAGATGTTGACCATTTCCCAGTTAGTTTAAAGCATACGATTCTTCTAGTTGAATCACTTCAAAGAAATTGCCTTATGAACTCGATAGCTGAACAAGCTGAACAACTGGATGTCCAGTATTCGAATCACTTCGGGTGTCAGATTAATTGAATCAGTAATGATTATATATGCATGTGTCAGGCTTTGTTTTTATCTATGTTTATATTTCTAAGGGTGATGTATTGGAGGCGAAAGAGAAAAGATGAATTTAATTTGCAACAATAAGCACGTGTGTCTTTGTTTGATATAAATAAATAAACGACTTAATTTTTCCACCTCTTGATACTTTTCGTATGCTCATTTTTATTCATTAGTAGCTGACAGTAATATCGGTTGAAGGATCATACAGTATCTTTAATATTAGTAGTCTAGACAAAGACAAAGATAGTAGAATGTTTCATTTCATCAATTAGTAATCACACACCACGGCGATAAAAAGTCTGTCAACCCAATCTCATCTCAAATAATCTCACTAACCATCATTTAATCAACTGCTCCTCTCTTTCTTATTCACTATGACAGAAGAAGACGTAGCTAGCTGGGCGCGGATTCATATTCTCAGGGTTCATTTTAGCACGAAGAAGCACACATATACACACATATACGGAAAAAGTTTTCCAACGAATGAATATGATAACAGTGGATAAAGACTTCAATTATTTCAAGGACACAGATTAATTTCAGCATAGATTTTGTCAGGAACCGACATCATTTGGAGAAAAATAAAAAAACTAGGGAGCACTGGGCAGTTGTTCAAACTTAGTTTAAGGTTCTTCTGCATAACGCACTTACAAGCCTATCGGGGATCCATGGCAGTGGCGCTCTATAAATAATTGACAAGAATTAGGACTTATAGGTCATTGTAATTTCCACTTAGTGGCTGAATGATGGATAGCCCTCCCAACATAGCTTGAAAGTATTAGATGGTAGGAGGTAATCTTGAAAGCCTTGGGTTCGACTCCTGGTTTTGTGATGGGTGTAAATCTGAAACTAGGACAAAACAACTGTCTAGTGCCCTCTGGTTTCCAACATTTATCTTGCAAATATCGGTACGTGACGAAACGTGTGTGGAAACGCTGTCAAAATTGTTTGAAGGTGGGTAGTGTTTTGTTTCTTGTTTTAGAAAATCAGCATGAATGCAGATTGAATATAGTAAAAACATTTTATGAACTGATAAAGTTTTAAATGCATTTAAAATATAAAATTGAATAAAATAAGGGGCAGTGACGATTACAAGTGTGCTCTAACCACATATTTCGATGATAAGTATTTCGTTATATTTGTTTTGGTAACCAAGAAAAAGGAAAATATTGTCTAGTTTCAAGATACTTTAACTATGAATTCTGTCATACAACTAGGATGACTTGTTCGCTTAGAGTAAACTGCATAAGGCTAAGAAATATTAATTGCTAACTTTATCCATGAAATAAAGGTTTCGCTAATACAAGCAGTTTCTTTTTTCATTCCTTTGCTTGAGTATTACAATTTCAGCAGCGGCGATGTTGTTTTATAAAAGGTAGGGTTGCTAGACTCATACAAAACCTTTCCTGTTTACCGGCCTTACTACCAGCTAAGCGAAGTTTAGGAGTACGCGTGGTTGGCAGGCTTGCTACCATTTGGTCACCGACGCACAAGCAGTCTTATTGCTATACACACTTATTTGTTCAGTAGACTCACTAAGGTCAAATATTTTACAAAATGATTTAGATTCATTTATATTTTAAAAAAATTAAATTTAGAATTTCTATTTTGGATTTGTAGAGACCTCGATAGCTTCAAGATATCTCTTATCATGTGGTGATCATCAAGGTAAGTGCATTACTAATCCACCTTTGAGTCAGTCGGAATCTAAAGTACTCGTGATTTATTACCTCAGTTAATTCATTATCGTCATCTAAAAGGCTGCATATAATTCTACTACAGTAGCATATGAGAAGAAATGGAGTTAATCTAGCTGGATGCGAGTAATTACAGCGCTGATCAATAGTAACAAATTACTGACCAAGGTGAGTAAAAAAAAGCTGACTGCCACCAAGTGAAACAACCAAAGAGAACCTTCTTATGTTAATCAATGACTTCTAAGTAAATTAAGAAAACATACTTCACATTCTAAAGTGAGATAATTCATAGGGCCTTTATTGTAGTGAAAAAATAACTCAGAAGGTAGGCATCAAAAAACCATGAAGCCCTGGAAATCTGACTAATACTGTTACAGCCTATCTTACTGACCGCCTCCTCTATTGCTCAGATTCAACTGCGAAATAGTATAGGCTTAATCTGACAAAACTATGTCTCTGTCCATGAAATTCACAAAATATTGACCTCATGCTGCGCAATACTCATCCGCCTAAAAGGTTATTCGCGATTCCAATGGTTTGAATAAATCGACTCGCTGAGTTTAGGCGTCTCAGGTACGCATCAGATAAGTTAAGCGAAAAACGAACGGAATGACCGTGTGTTGTTCAGATTTAGTTGACATGTACAGGTATCAGTAATGACTTACTGCTAGCTACGTATCCTAGTCTGAGGTTCAATTCCTGGAGGACGCATGCCCTAACCTCGCCTAGTTTACTAACCGGTATTGACACTGGAAAAGAAGAAAGGCAGGCAGTGATGTCATCAGCCCTATCCCCTAAAACAACACCAACGCTACTGAAACTTCTAAATTTGAAGCCCTATGTTCCACTAGGATCATAAAAGAATGACGAAGAAGAAGAAAAAGACGTATCCATGAAAGCAGTATTCATGTAAAATAATATATCTCACAATCTTAGCCATCTCAGCTATAAGAATCTACCGATAAAATAATAAGTTTTATTGGAGGATTTCATCATGAGCTGACATCAGTTAGAGAACCATTGGAAAACAAGTTAGGAGTACTGGAAGGCTGTTTCGCCCTAGCTTGGGACTCTACAACAGTACGCACCCGCCAGGGCTCGTTACAAGGCGAGCTTGTAGGTCTTTTAGCCACTGGGACACGTTCCAATGGTCCATGAATTCTTACTTCTGCCAATTCATGACATAGAACGACCACTTCGCAATGTCTTCTTCAATGAGTTACTGCCTCACCCTCAACATGCTGGACCCAAGTGACTCAGTCAGCAGTTTCCCAAATATCTAGACAGTAATGTCACCGCTTCTAAATTCAACTGTAACTCTCTCTTTTGGTAAATTTTTCCAGATTGAATTTCGTACGAGTTCACTATTACTAGTACTGTTTGTCAACAGTCTTCATAAACTTTTGTGGGTATTTATTCCACAAAGCAGTTCAATATGCCTCACTCAAGTTTGTCATCAAAACTGTCTAACCTACAATTTCTTTATTCTGAGTAATTTGATTGACTCATGAAGTTTGCTCCATCACTGACTGATTGAAGATAAGTTTAACCAACTGTTTGTTGTACAGATTCATCACCATATTTTTGTTTTTGGGAATTAATGATATCAATCGATTGATAAGACAAATTCGACTATTTGGGGAGTGATTTGTACAAAGTCAAGTGATTTAGAAATCTGGGCACACTTTCATATTGGAATCAGTAACTCCTTTAACAGTAAAAGTTTTAACAGATCAGGAAAATATTCATAAAACAAAAGAAACAATCACAGACAATCACACACAATTACCTATTGATGGAAGTTTTTCATCCTTTTCACTACTAATAAATAAATATTTATTGCATCGACCAGCCCATGTTGCTTTAACGTGAACAGCTTTTGACTGATGATTTTTTGGCATTGTAACTATCCAACAGAATACACGTACTTGTTCAGCCAATGCGTTGGCCAATGTTGCTTCAGCTATAAAAAACACAAAACACAACAATAACACCACGAACAACACAGATTATAATAAATAAACGCTGACTGATGTCTAGAACTCTGATGGTACACTACACAAATCACTTAACTTCGCCCATTAGACATTTTATACGCCTCAGTTAAAGAATAACACTCTCAGTAAATGATTCTCTAGGATAACTTAGTTGCAAAAACGGCTCATTCATGAAGTGTCCAAAACGTAAAATAATATTGAACAGTTTTGTCACTTTTAAGTTTTACAAAAGTAACACTTTGTTTCTCATAGAAGTGTTGACATCCATTCAAATAACCTGTACTTAGAGTTTCACTTAAACAACTTTTTTCACATGAAATACTTTTTCTAAATTCTGAACAACATTCATTATAAATGATAGACTCAATTTCTCTGTTGCAGGTGTAGTATCCTCTAAGAAAACTGTGATTGGCCACCTCAAGATCCCTGAGTCGGTTGTCAGCTTCGATCAATACTATTTGTGCTAGGCAAATAACATAACCATCCGAGTAAAACATGTTATATATATATATATATATTCAGCAGCTGATGCGTAAATAAATAGTTGATAAAATGAACAATCTATTACGAAATGAATATGATTTAATAAATTCGCCATCCAACGGATAAAACATGATTTATGTGTTGAAAATGAAGTTGTAGGCTGACTTGGTCTACTTTGGCAGTGCTTTTCTTTTAACCTTTAACTGATGACGAAATCTTTCATTCAATGTAATTGTTGATTTATTTTCATTATTACTGAGTTACATCATCACTTACTTGACACCATGTTTGATGTGTAACTAAATGAGCAAAACTCTGTCTACATTTTCCACACATCTCATCTGTTTATCAGTAATTTTTCTAATGACTTACGTAATCATAGAATTTATGTACCGCGATATCTTGTTGCTTTCCTCCCATTTTTATCCAAGAAACGTCGGTAGCACTATACACTTAATTACAGCAATATATTTTTATATCTTGCCAACTAAAAATTTTGATTTATGTATATATCATTTTTAATTTTTATTTGACATTTTATCTCCATTGTACTAAAGCTTATCAAAATTATAACAAAACTATTAACTTTCACTATTCAGGTTATAAGTGTGTCGGTGTTATAACTGGAGAGTGCTAGCCAGCCTTAATGTAGGCCCGAGTTAGACCATCGGTCGACTCACTCCTTAACTTTGCCTAGCTAGAGGTAGGTCCGAAGAAGATGAAGAGTCTACTGTGAGGTCAGCAACTCCATCCTGTGGAAACAACACCACCCCACTGCAACTTCAAAACCCAACACCATGGAGAAACGCAAAGGAATGAAAAACAAAATTCAGATTGTGAGTAGTAATCAAGATACTGAGTAAGTAAACTAAATCCGTCACACATTCTGCTCCAATTGTTTTTATGGCTTAATTCAGAATTAACAGAGTGATTGCATTATCTAGTAAACTATTCCTATCACTTTCTAGTATGTAGTGAAACACTGTAACTAACAATTATTTCCAATGAATTCTTCTTCAGGCTCTACAATTACAAATCAATTATGGTAACTGCTTGTAGTCTAACTAATATCCAAGCAATCTTTCTGATATGGTAGAACCAGCGGGAACACTAGTTCCAACCATTGGCAACTCTTTGAGTCATTGTTATATGTGTGATATGGCCCACCAAAAAGCCCACGGTAGCAGTTATCAGTCGGGGGATTATTCATTAGATATTTGAAAACAGTGATCTCTTGTTTAATGAGTAATATGAAAATATGGGTGAAGGCACTTTTCGAAACATCTGCCTCCTTATTTATGACTCAGATACTTTGTCAGCTGAGTTATGCGACCTAATTGTTAATCAGGTTATCACGGGTAATCCCCACCTACTGTGTGAATGAATAATGCATATTTTTTCGTTTATTGCCCAGTGAGCAATTGGGTCTGATAGCTCAGCTGGTAGACTGCCAGACTAATGATCTACAGGCAATTGGTTCGACTCTGCTTCAAAGACTTTTAGTTCCTTCAAGCACTATTGTTACTTAATATTGTCTACAGTCCAGATTATTCAGATAATGCCACCACCAAATGATAATTTCCAGGTTTATTTCACCAGAGCTTAGTGATTTAAATCACAAGAAAATTGATTACAAGATAACTAAGGCAACCTAAATTATTGGAATGCAACACGACGCTAAAAAACTTGATCCAGGAATAGGAGACTAAAGATATTGTGATGATACTTGGTGCTATTTGCGTTGTTGTCTACAGATCATTAGATTTCACCTTCATTATGACGTGAAGCTGGCATGTTTCTATATCTATGCTGGTAGAAGCTCTGTTGAGTAGAGAAGTAATGATTGACTTGCACCCTTCTTTTCCGATTGATTTATCTACAGAAATTCAATCAGTACCAAGCTCAGTTGAGGAACTCTGTGGAGACAACTAATCATGTTCTAGGTCACAGGATGAGACAGCTATTGAACTCACATAGAACCCCAAAACTCACTTTTGACTGAAGTCAGCGCTCAAGATATTGGTTGTCTAGATAGACAATAAAAGCTTCACATCAAACTATCCAACTTATATTGATCACTTGAGCAAAAATGCCTCCATCACTTCTAAATATGATCTCTGGTCCTTACATCTGCCATGCTTTAACCGAAGGACTGCTGATTTTCTAAGAAGAATGATCAGTTTATTCAAGACAATATTTATGATACACTATGCTATTTTCCTCTGTTCCTCTTCTACTATTTGTATCAAGGTGAAATAAAGCTCTACATATTTTACTTCTGGATATATTTTATTTCAATTGTTTTTTCACTGCTTCCTTTTCTAAATATCTCTCAGTTTATTGGCCTGGTTAAAGCCAAGAAAAGAGGGAAGATTGGGCGTGGGACTATTAACTTCAACTCGTAAAAACCACTGTTATCTTTGCAAAAACTTAAAAGCACATAAAAAATACATTCATTCACGTCTTTTATCCGGACGACACCTCGATTCGAAGGTGAATGACACACGAGGGTGAAAGCTTTTGGAAACCAGTCAGTAAGCATATGGACATGGAAAATCCATACAATGTTTGAGGCTGGCAGAACTGCCAAGATTCCAGAAGAACTGAAAAGACATAGTATAGAAGCGATAGAAATCCGTGACAACAGATTAGACATAGGCAGACTGGAGAGTCAATAATACGCACTGGTCATCTAGATGACAAGTGTGAGCATACTAACAGTGTGGATACCATGATTTCGTCAGCAGCACGATGTTTCTTAAGCACTCTCCTCCAGGAACATAATCCTCTTTGGCAATCAACAAATTGTTCCTCTTAAAATTTTGAATTATTGAACCATGAAATGATGATGTAACTATCATGGATCGGCAGAAGGCTACCAGTGTAATGAGTAGCAATTGAGGATGAAATGAAGTCCACATTACTAGCCTGAAGATTGCCTATCGTAGCCCAGATTTATTTATTCAACTAGTGAGGTTTCGAAAGAAATCAAGCGTGACACATATATTGGGATTCGAAACCAAAGCCTTTGGTTGCTTGACACAGATTCCTAACTATTTATTCACTTTTTATGCGTCAGGTTAAGTCCTTCAATAGTAAGCGGAAATTAATTAATTTCAGTACAAAAAATGTTTGAACATGCGTGTGGTTACTACTTTTGATGAATAATATGCAAAATTTGACATTTTGTCCAACAAAAAAGAAGCATTTAAATACACATTTTGCATCTTTAGTGCAATTATTTTCTAGTATACTTTTCGAAAATAATTGTCAGCCACACTAGTTCAATAAATATTTGCACTAGAAAGTGGAGTTAATCTGATTGGTTGAGTCGTTTTATTAAGTGACCGGATGGCGCATCAGACTGACCACCATCGTGACTATCAAATAGGCGGATGCTGGTAACCACTGAAAAATTAAGGTCATGGAAGATAAAACTGATATTTATGCTGCATCTACTGCAGTCTTAGAGCAAAACAGAGCAACATTTTTAGTACAACGTGCGCATATCTAGATTTCAAGACATCTTATCAGCCTAAGACAGGCTAAACAATATATTTTCAAGAACTGGTTTGTAAGAATGTGATGGATTGTTTACGGGATTTTGTCATGAGCTGACATCGTCTAGAGAACCGTTTGAAAACCTGAGAGTACTGGACAACTGTTTCGTCATGAGGCATTGGTCCGGGTCCCAGTGGCTTAACTGTCTACGAGCTCGCCTTCTGACCAGAAGGTCCTGGGTTTGAACCCCGTGGTTTGGGTGTGTACTGTCATACAGTCCCAAACTAGGAAAAATCCGCTGTTCGGTACACTCAGGTTTTCAAATGGTTCTCTAACCGATGTCAGCTCATGATAAAAAAAATATATCGAATTAATGAAATAAGAACAAAATATTTTATTCTACTGAATAGAAGCTAAGCATCAAGATCATGGTCACAGGAAGCAGCTATGGGTGCGGTGTGATTGTATCATAAGCTTATAAGGAGATTTGAGAAGTCCTCCTTAATCGAAAAGCAACAAAATACCAATTAACCAGCAAAATGAAAGAAGCCTACATAGTATTACATTAGAAAGTCGGTTGGTTAACTTCCTATCAGAAGTCACTGCAAACCGTATTTACGTATTCACGTATACATGGAAGAGAATCTACAGTGGAAAGAAAGATAAGCATTCACTTGCTTCTCTGAAATACATTTTTAAAACCTCAAAATTCAGATTTCGCCGTCCCTTTCCACAAGTCCTTTACCAGTATTCTTTTCCAACATAGGATCAAACCGGGACATAAATTCAATTAACTGATTTTCAATCACCTCTAGATGCTTTCTAGTGTATCATAATGCAATTTACTTCCAATATGTTGCTGGGTAATCACCGTTTGTTTGAAAGCCATTTATTAATACTTCTTGACACCTCTCCATTTATTATATATTATTATTATTTCCTTTAGTTCCTAGAGGAACATAGGGCTTCAGCCATGCGTCTCCATTGCGTTCAGTTCTTTGCTAGAGTTTTCACCTGGCTCCATGTCTGCCCACATGCTTTCATCTCCTCTTCACATGATCTCCTCCAAGTCACCCTTGCACTGACGACCAACTCGCCGCTTCCCTTTCGGGTTCCACTCGAGCGATGGCCTGGTCTGTGATGTCACTTGATGGTTTGTTTTCTTAGAGTATGGCCAATCCATCTTCATTTCTTCCTGCCTATTTGTTTCACAATCGGTTCCTGGTTGGTTCGCTCCCAGAGATCTTTGTTGCTGATCCTTTCCGGCCATCTGATCTTGAGTATTGAGCGAAGACATCTGTTGATGAAGGTCTGTAGTTTGTTTGAGGTGCTTTTTGTGACACGCCAAGTCTCTGATCCGTATAGTAGTACTGCCTTCACATTGGAGTTGAAAATCCCGATCTTATTTTTGACGCTGAATGATGTTGACCTCCACACAGACTTGAGAGTAATGAAAGCTTGCCTTGCTTTCCCGATCCTTGCTTTGATATCCTCGTCAGTTCCGCCTGTAGTTGAAACAATGCTTCCCAAGTAGGTAAAGGAGGTAGTTTCTTTCAGGTTCCTTCCATTTATGCTGATTGCTGTCTGTTGTTGTTGCTGTTGGTGTTGGCCAGGAATCTTCATCACCTCTGTTTTCTCTGTGTTCCCCTGGAGTCCTATCTTGGATGCTTCTTCTGCCAACTTGTTACTTTTCACTTGCATATCTTCCAGTTTGTAAGAAATCAGACATATATCATCGGCGAAGTCCAGATCCTCCAAGTTCTTTGTGTGAGTCCATTTTATGCCTGTTTCCTCATTGCCCGCTGTTTGTCGCATTATCCAATCTACTGCAATCAGGAAAATCATTGGCGATAGTAGGCAGGCTTGTCTTACTCCTGTCTTCACTTCGAAGGATTCCGTGAGCTTCCCGTTGTGGATTACTTGGCATGCAGCGTTGTCGTACAACTGTTGGATGAGATGTATAATTGTCGGCGGCACCCCGTAGTAGCGAAGTAGTTGCCAAATCACCTCTCGATCGACGCTGTCGAAGGCCTTTTCAAAGTCGATGAAGTTGAGATAGAGAGGTGACTGCCATTCCAAGCTTTGTTCAATGATGATCCGTAGTGTGGCGATTTGATCAATACATGACTTGTTTCTCCTGAATCCAGCTTGTTCTGGTCGAAGTTTTTCATCCAGGGCTTGTTTGATCCTTTCCAGGATGATGCGGCTTAGTATTTTGCTTGGGATGGACAGGAGCATAATTCCGCGCCAGTTCTTGCATTGACTTAAGTCTCCTTTCTTTGGTAGTTTGAATAGGTATCCTTTCTTCCAATCCTCGGGTACTTTGCCTTCTTTCCACACCTTCTCCAGTAGTGGCGTCATCAAGTCTGCTGTTGTCTCTGGGTCCACTTTCAATGCTTCTGCTGGGATTCCATCTGGTCCTGCTGCTTTTCCAGCTTTCAGCATCTTGATTGCCTTCAGGACTTCTGTTTTCGTCGGGGGGTTGATGTTCACTGGTAATTCTGCTTCCGTTGTTGGTATAGTTGGGCGCGTTGTAGGTGGCGGTCGGTTTAGTAGTCTTTTGAAGTGTTCAGCCCAGTGTTTCCTTTGCTCCACTTCTTTGTTGAGTGACTTTCCATTTTCATCCTTCACTGGCTTAATTTGTGACGAATTTTTGCCTGAGAGGTACCTAGTTGTTTGGTAGAGTGTTGCGAGGTCTCCTTTGCCTGCAGCTTGTTCTGCCTCAATTGCCATAGTACTTTCTTTTGTCTTCTCTGGCACTCTTCTTTACTCCTTTGTTCAGTGTATTGTAGCTTGCATTCAACTCCTGTTTCTGTTGCTCGTCGGTGCACTGGATAATCTTTTGTTTCACCATCCTTCTCTCTTCTATTAGCCTCCAAGTGTCCGTAGTGAGCCACGGTTTGTCCTGTCTCTTCTTTCTGCCCAGAACGTCCATGCAGGTTTCGCTCCATACCGTTTTCAGGTTGTCCCAGTGTTTTTCGACGCTGACCTCTTCGTTAATGTTGATTTGTGTCTCAGCTTTGTCCTTTATGCTTGCAGTAAAGATATCCTTTGTATCCTGGTCCTTTAGTTTTTGAGTGTTGAACTTGGCTTGTGGTCTATCTGCAGCTCCTGTTTCTCTGAAAGCTTTTAATTTGAGTTGGATTGTTCCTTGTACGAGGTAGTGGTCTGAGCCAACGTCTGCTCCTCTTCTTGCTTTTGTGTCCAGTAGGCTGCGCCGCCACTTCCTCGAGATTGTGATGAAGTCAATTTGGTTTTTGGTTCGCCCATCTGGTGACACCCATGTAGCCTTGTGAATATCCTTGTGTTTGTATACGGTGCCACCAATCACTAGTTTATTGAAGGCGCAGAAGTCGGCGAAGAGTTCTCCATTTTCATTCATCTCTCCCAGAGCTTCTCTACCCATGATGAGTTCCCTTCCTGTGTTGTCTGATCCCAGTTTGGCGTTCATGTCTCCCATTAGTATTTTAATGTCACCGGCTGGAGTATTGTCTATTGCTGCCTGTAGTTGTCTGTGGAATTCTTCTTTCTTTTCGAGGTCTGCGTTGTTTGTGGGTGCATAGCACTGTATAATTGACACTTTTCTTCCTTTGGAGTTGAATCTGGCGGTCATGATTCTGGGTGAGATCGCCTCCCATTGTATCAGAGCCTTGGTTGCCGTTGGTGACATCATGATAGCCACGCCCTCGGTGTGTGTGTGGTTGTCTTCTGGGTGAGCGGAGTAAATCACTGACTCACCTGTTGACAATTTGGTGAGTCCGTTTCCGTTCCATCTGCTTTCGCAGATCCCCAATACTTGTAGTCCGTATCTCCTCATTTCGCTTGCGATCTGGGCAGCTTTGCTAGTCTCGTACATGGTGCGGACATTCCATGTCCCCACACAGACTTTTTCTTTTGACGCAAGGAGATTGTTCGCGCTGAAGTTTCTGTAGCAGGTTTGTTTACAGGGTGGGGTTGCTGGCCTCACGCCTGAGTTTAGTCTTTGGGTACCTGAAATAGAAGAAAGGTTAGTGTTGCGTGACCACAGAGCCCAGGGGACATCTGCTTGAGGCCGGTCACACACGGCCTGGTGTGTCTCAGTAGTGTACTTATCACTTCTGCCCTGTGACACGGCAGCAGAGAGCGCGGTCGTTGTTAATCCGGGCCACGGCCGATCCGGCATGATATTTTTTGAATTCGTTTGGTTCATCGGGTTGGATTGGTGACGACTAAGTCCAGCCCCCACTGATACCGTCGCCAATGTATCAGTATTTATTATATATAATTAATTGTAATGATTACGTCATCACATTACACTCACTGTTGTTTCATTTACCCATAATTTTTATGCTGAGCTTGTGTTCAGTCGGATAAAAAAATTATGTTCTTGCTTTTCAAGTATGACATATATATAAACATATATTAAATTGTGTGAAGCTGATGAGGAAGACCGAAATAAAATGTACACATTTTGTTTTGAACCGGTTGTATTCCCTGAGATGGTTGATTTAGTTGTGAAGCTTCCATTCTCTTTATAGACAACATCTTCAACACAAGCCTTAATGTCAAGTGAACTTGTGTGAATTCTCCATGAAGGATATTATTGTATCTATCTCATGACAATCATTTTTACATTTATATAACTGACATGGATCACTTTTATTCACTTGGAATTTGAACTTTCTTACCATGTGATTATTTATTTTTTACCAGTTGGTAAATTTGATCTACAGTAATGTCGTTGTTTAACTCAAATTGAAATACCAACAAGAAATCATCCTAACGGACCACGAGGAAATTCATCTCACCACATATAAAGCATATCCCTGAAATAACAGCTCAAATACTTAGATCACTTCAAACAGACACAGCTAACACATAAGCTAACACAATCACTTCATTGAATACTGTGCAAACCAGAGGATTCAACAGCAAAAGAAGACAAATACCACCAACAACATTTACAAAGTAAGTTGCATAAATGACGACGACAAACACTACATTGGTCAAACAAGGGCGTCCCTTCGAATCAGAATCCGAGAACATAATATGTATTCTTTCACATCAATGCATTTAGACAATTAGGGAGACCAATTTGATTGAGAGAATGCAGATAAACTGTAAACAGAGTGAGCCGAAAACATGCCAAGGAGTTTCTAGAGCCTGATACTCAGATGAGTCAGCGATTAACGAAGACATTACTGTAGATCAAATTTACCAACTGGTAAAAAATAAATAATCACATGGTAAGAAAGTTCAAATTCCAAGTGAATAAAAGTGATCCATGTCAGTTATATGAATGTAAAAATGATTGTCATGAGATAGATGCAATAATATCCTTCATGGAGAATTCACACAAGTTCACTTGACATTAAGGCTTGTGTTGAAGATGTTGTCTATAAAGAGAATGGAGACTTCACAATTAAATCAATCATCTCAGAGAATACAGCCAAATCAATATCATCCATCTCTATTACGTATTTTATCCGGAAAACGTGTTCGTTGTTTGCTTTGAAGAATCGAATCAAGGGAGCAGATTATATGAGTTATTATATTCTGTTCAACAACAGATTTTTGCATACGCTGCATCTAGTAAGTGGAAATACTGACGCCCATCTTATTTCGTTAATTACTCACAACTCACAGGCAGCGGAGGATAGAAGAACAATTTGAATACTCGATGCTTAGATTGAAGCATGACAAAGCATTCTAAAGTACTATGTTGTACATCTGTCTGGAGAACAGTCATTGTTTTTGCTATACTGGCTAAAGACAAAATAAAACAAAACAAAAAAAAACAACAAAATCAACTCATACTCACCCAAATGTTGTAAAGCATGTTCATGAATTGAATCATTGGAGTGAACTACATTTTTTAGAAGAAAGAAAAGAAGCATTGATTTAAACCAGGAGGAAAAATTATGACCTACTCAACTGTTTATACGCGTCATCATTAGTCAACAATTGTGGTGATTTAGCAGCACTGATAACTGATGTATATAAATTATCCTCACGTTGTAAGTGATAAAGGTGGACAACTAGTCCACCACCAAACATTCCAATGAGATATATAATGATCATAAGACAAAGTGGTGATGACTTCTTGATAACACGGAATGGCTAAAAACGAAAATAAAAAACCAAATATTATGCATATATAATCATGTGAGGTAAAAAAATCAGAACTTTCTTGTATTTGTCACAATGTCATTCAATAATCGTGAATAAAAAAATTTATCGAAATTCACATTGGCATAGGTGTGTATACGTGAACGTATGAAAATAAAGTCTCTTTAGATATTGGTGTGTAGGATGCTCCCCAACCATCTATGTGGTTCGGTCCCCGGCCGACGCACTCCTTTACCTCGCTAAGCCAGTATTTAAGAGTTGTAAAGAGGAAAGGTTGGGCATGAGGCTAGCAACCCCATCCCGTAAAAATAAATACCATTGCTCTAGCTTAAAAGCCCTATGTTCCACTGGGAACGTAAGGGAATAAAATTAAACTAATAGATGTATTATGCATCCAGTTGAATAATTTTTGATGACCTGATTTATAGGAAGAAAAGAATCTGACTTAACATAAGTGGAGCGCAGTTTCTGGGACCGACCAGATGTGTTGCAAACACGTCTTTCTTATAAGTGCTCGAAACCTACATTTAGGCAAAGTCAACTACTTGGGCTGTCTGGATAGTTTAATTGTGAAAATTTCATTATCCTTCAAGCTTACCCTTAAGTTTAATGTGAATGCCAATAAAGCTTCACGATTTAACCATCCATTTTAAAGAACACAACAATACAAACCAAAATATTCATTTGAGTTACAATTCTCCTCCACTATTTCTGAAGCATAATATTCCTTGACTGCTTTTAACATTTAGTGAAATCGGAAAATTACGACGATTCCGCCAAATAATAAAACCAGCTTTGATAGGCTAAGAGTGGCTTACAACATTTCGGATATATTAGAGTGTCAGGCAGAAGCAAAATTATAATAATGTTGGGAAACCCTGAAGAATGGAGTTATGTAAACAATTAAACTAGTACACTTATTTCTTTGACTTTTCTAGGTTGAAAATATCTCTGTGCAATGTGTTGTGTATAACAAACACTAACTGTTCTTACGGATAGGATCAGGGAGTCTTCTGTCTTTATTTATGTGGGTCCTGGGGATCAGAAGTGATTGCGAGTCGGTGTTCAGTATTCGATCTTTAGACGAGTTACTTTTCGCCTTGCCGTGTTGAACCTTGGAAGCAGTATTATTACTAGTGCTGGTCTGATCAATCCATATCATATTTCACTGAAGTTATCCAACCAAGACAACAGTATTACTGTCGTACATATCAGGATTCAATTATACGAAAGAAACCTAAGATGTTTCAGCATTCTTAAAACCTCAAAAGCTGAATCCCACCAAGAAACTGCAAATAATTTCAAAAGAATATTCTCATCCATAGTCTAGTTTTTATCGAAACAAGGAAGTAGGGTGTGAAATATTTAAATCCTCTGGAATATCTAAGCAATCTGAGGTTTTTGCGAAAATGCACAATCAGTCAGCACACTATATGGATGCCATGGTATAATGTAACAACATTTCTGTAGACAGACGGTCGGGCAGTTTCATAGAACCAATGGGAAGTATTCTTTTGTTGTCCGGAATGAGAAAAAAGATAAACTTATAATTAAATACAGATTAGGCGATAACCAGGTGGTTGTCTAATCAGCATATCATAATCAGACATTCAAACATTAATCAGTTTGGTCGATATCAATGAGGTTATCTGATATCATAGACGAACGTCTCTATAGTTAAGAGATGCACACTAGACTTATGTTATAAAGTTGTCTTAAAGTCGAGTATTAAAAGTTGGATGATTATTATAAAAATGAGTGAGTTTCAGGAAATCATCTCTATTGTCGATCAAACCAACAACTAGAAGAAAATTGAAGCCATTTTTAATTTCTCGTTGATTGATTATACTAGAACGATATGTTCTGTCTCTGTGGACATGAGAATTACTAGCTAAGTGGATATTGCTTTGGTGTTTGAAGCGATGGGTGCTTAGTCCCAGTTTCAGTGGAGTAACCAACACTCACCGAGACACAGGTACACCAAGATGAGGTGTCTCAAATAGGGCGAAATGCGCACCTATTAATTAGTTAACATAGTCTAAATAACACTTACGGCTAGGAAAAATACCTATTGATTGCAGCCGATAAACACTGCACAATATTCCAAATATGAGTTTCCGACTAAAAAGTCGCATTTATTATCTACGCCTAAAGAGACATGAACACTTTGCTATATTATGTTTTCTGCATTCTTCATCACATGACTTGAAGGCCATCGGTTAGAATTTCGCTGAATTTCGCGTTTCAGCGTGGTTGATTGACTTTTGCGTAATTACCGATTCGCTACTTCGGAAAATCTCATTAGTAGTAGATTACAAAGTATTTTTAAATAATTATTAATGAATTCTCAGTCTGCTTTACTTTTGACAACATACCACCATGTCTTTATATTGGCCTGTGAAATTTTGTTTTGTACTTTTACTGTTTTCTGTGCAATACATTTTCATAGTGGTTATTTACTGTCATGAAAGTTGTCTGATACGACTGGTTACTTGGCAACAACAGTGATAATCAATCTGGATGATAAACCATTGGTTGCGACTTAAGTCTGTTGAACAAATGTATAATGTGCCCTGAAGTTAGATTTTGTGCTTATTAACCACTTACCAACAAAGTATGTGTGCAGTCTTTCGAAGACTTTGGTTATCTGTGAAGATCGAATCTATATATCCTAGTTTCAAAATCTACACCACTCACTTTGTAGGTGAATGTCTGAATAGCAGTGGAAGTATTTGTTGTGTCAAGATTGCAGATAGACATGTCTTGCAGGAAGTGCTAACAAACATGAGATTTGTGTCTAGAATGGATTTCCTGTAAACTAACTTGCAACAAACATTGATCAGATACGAGGTAGTAACCAATGTCATGACTAATGCCACAACTACCAGTTTCCCCAATAGTCGTTAATGCTTTTATGAATAGATTTAAAGATAACATCTTTTCAAGCATGCTCACGCCAAAAATGTGGTTAAGATTCCTTGGTGATACTTTTGTTGTGCTAAAACGAGATCTACAAACTTTATTTATTTTTGGAGAAATTGAAGAATCTATCTCCCAGCATCTAGTTTACTTCGGAAGCAGAATCAGACGTCGGTGAACTACCATTTCCAGACTATCTAGTTAGGAGGAGGGATAACAGATATTTTAATATACCTGTATGCAAAAAGAAAACCCTTTCCAAGAAATATTTAGACTTAGGCTCATCACACTCCATCAGTGCATAATTATCAGCAGTTTCAAGTATTCTTAACAAGCACAATCTTTGATAGCAGATGAGAAGGAGAAAGAAGAAGGAATATAACAAAATTACTGAGAATTTCAAGAAAACTAATAATCTCAAGAACTTCATCAACAAAATCAACACTGATATTAAGTATGGTCGAAAACGTTTTCCGAAAACATGGACCTCAACAGTTGTCACTCCATATAGAGTAGGGACGTCAGACGACATCAGAAGAGTACTCGCTAAGCTCGACACCAGAGTTTTCTTCAAAACGTCATGCTCACACGTTACAAAGCAACCTTGTCCATGTAAAACATCAACTGCCTAAGGATTTTCAATCTAATTGCATCTACAAAATAAAGTTCTTGGAATGTGATTTGACATACATCGGACAAACATTGAGAGAAATCAGATTCATGAGAAATGTACACCATAGAGAATATGTCCTACCACCGAGAAATCCAGGTGAACTAGAAAAGCTTCAAAAATCATCAGCCATAGGTATGGCTTTTAGACCATAAGCTATGCAATCAAGTCACAAAATTGATTTTGACAATATTGAAATAATCCAGAAAAGTATTGAATTCACCGAATTCATGAAAAATAATGACTAATGACTACCTAAACATTATCTTTTACAGTGAACCAATAAAATGTCGAATTGAAATCTCATGATTGGCTGATTTGCTATATTTGATTGGAAACCAAGGTTACTTTTATTTGATTGGCTAGAATTGAGTAGATTGTCAATGCATCACAGACATTCTTATTTTACGAAAATTGCCCACAATGGCAAGATACGAGCTGTGAATAGTTTTTTAGTGCTGAGTATTTGAAGGCTTGAGAAAAAAATCGAGAAATTTCATACAACTACGAAGAATCAATATCAGCATTAATCTACTAACAGCATACAGAGAAATAATATGGACTATGTTTTGGAGAAGACATTCGCGGACCAACTTACAATTATGCATTAATCCAAACTAACACATCTATTTGTATACATAGTACAGTTAAATGTATACTTCGTGATTATATTTCACACATATATTTCATTGCATATCCTTCGCATGTGAGAGTTCACTAGTCTAACAATCGCACTATCTCTGTGATAATAAAACTGTACCAGTTGTTTTCATTTCGAAGGTAGGTTTTATAATGAATTAAAAGCAGTTGAAAAGCCAATAAAAATCCAGGAGACCTGTAAAACTGTTTCAGTGAAGGATGAGGCCTTGCGACAATGTCCATCAGTGATATGTGAGTAGTGTTATATAAGAGAGTTCTAGAAACTGTTCTGCTACTGTCGAACCACTGAAGCATTATTGTCCAGTGCTTGACATTCGCCGCATTATCAGTAAAATCCAGATGCGCTTTCATTTCCCCAGTGCGTTGTTAGGTCAGAAGTAGGACACTTGTCAACCACTTGGGAAGTCTGAGTGCTACTAACGGCTGACCCAGTCCTAAACCTCACCTAGTTTACAGGTCTAGAAAAGGGGAAGAGATGGGTGTGATGCTGGCAACACCACAAATACTGAAATTTCAAAGCGTACAATCCTATTTTCCACTTGCGATTCAAGGAGTGGAAAACCGTTCGCAACGGTCATCATTTGTCGTGGAAAGTTTCGCATCCTTGTACTCAGTCCTTCTTGGAGTCATTCGTGTATTTCCTCTGCTATGGCATCTGGAAATAAAACCTGATATTGATCCAGCTTTTCTGCTTTCCAATAGAAACCTTACCAATGTAGATTTATGAAAAACATCGAATTGA